CTCTGCGAGAGTTGTCTATAAATCTCTCTCATAGACAACCAGTGTGAGTTGTCCCATATCTATTCCCTTAATATGCCTTTTTTCCCTTTAAACTTTCTTACTTTTTAATCTCTTTTATGGACAGCTTCCAGTAGAAGTTGTCTGTAAGGGATGCGAAAGCGTAGATTCTACGCCGTTTTCGCGTAGAATAGACATGTCTCTTCTCTGACGTTCTTCGGCCAAATTCACTTTTGGCGCGAAGTTTTCGCTAAACCGAAGGCTGACGTCACGTCCGTGGGTGTGTTGTGCGTGTGTAACATTTATTTTGGTCGAATTGCTCGGCCTGTAAATTTGGCTGAATGAAAGTCTATTACTACTACTACTGCTATTTTGGTTATGACCCCGTCCGCCTTTCGGTGCAAATGGCCCGGATGTCGCTAAAGAAAGCTGCATGCATTTAATTATCTTCCTTTCTTTCTGCAGCTCCAGGAACAGGAGTCGCGCCTCCCATCACCAACCGTCGAGCACCCGGCACCATCTCGCGGGACGACGACGGCGACGGAAGACAACGGTCACCCGGCTTGGAGGACGGGGTCCTCACCGCCTCCAGGGGAGCTGGCGTCGCCCGGAGGCTCCGACTCGAGGATTGGAGGCACCGGCCAAGCCAAGGGAGGCGACCACGCCACCTTGCTGGCAGCCGTTGTGGCCAGGAACGAAGAGCTTCCTCTGCTGCACACGGATAGTGGCAGCTGCTGTTCCGAGGACGACGCGCACAGTCTGGACAGCGGCTCGAGACTGCTCTCTGAGGATCCCGATGGGAACGTGCGGTGCCACATCGACCCGGAGATAATGGCCGAGATTGAGGTGGGTTCAAGCGTACGATAAGTTGCACTGCAGCCTGCCGAGTGCTGCATGTCTGGTCACCCTTCCCATGCTCAATATATCATTCGGATACCGCAGTAATATTTGTCGACCGCTAAAGCAAATACACACGCACAGAAGTGTACAGGTCCACGACCCGGGTCGCTCTTTTTACGCGCTTTTGTGAGTACTGCATAGCCTCGTGACGTTACGCCTCCTCCAACGCTTTTGTGAAAGGGCCCTATTACTGGCGGAGTCACGAAACAGTGTACAGCCGGATCCACAAAGGACTCCTTTACGTGGGACAGTTATAAAGGAAAAATTTGTTACCTACACGAGGTCAATTTATAGGGCTATTTAGCGCAAATCTGTAACACGAGACAGAAGGCAGTATACAGAGGGATACTCTCAACGGACATCATTTAGTGTGTCACACGGGCCACTCTTTACACAGAACAGATACCAGAAGGTCACACGTATAGAGTACAGTGCGCAGAATGCTGTACACTATGCGTAATCTTCTGGTATCTGTTCTGGGATTAGAAATACAAACGAATTTCTCAAAACCATTCGCTAACTTTTCTCAAAACGTTTCGGCAACTAAGGAGCTTTCTTTTCTAGAAGTATGCATGAATTTTCTTTTAACTTCATGCTACGAACTTGTGGTTGTCAAACTTTTTAGCTTATTGCTTCCACCACCATGCGGGATTCTGCCGGGCTGATTTCTTATAATCGCGTCTTTTAGTCTGTCCGGCAATCTGGTAACGCAAACGCGTAGTTCAGTACCAGATTGTGTGTGTACCATAGCTGCCGCTACGTCAAGTGGGTCCAGCTATGGAAGATAAAAAGCAACTAAAAAAACGCATATGTCCTCAGAGATTCCGGGAGCACCCGTCACCCTCGCTAAGCATACACAATCGATTATTTGAAAACGTTTTTCGAAAAATGTACCGTATCAACACCAATAATTTGCTATCGAAGCTCAAGTACACGAATTAAGGGCAAATAGAGACGTAAGTTCGGAGCTAACAAGCTATACCGAGCGCACGACGGCCACACGAAAAATTCGCGGTAGACGGCAACGGCTTTCGGCCACGTTTCCCGAGTGTGCATATGCGCAGTTCACGCCGGGTATTTCAGTGAACGCAAAGCAATTTGAGTGTAGCGGTGAGCAAGACAGACTAAAAGTCACGATCGCGTGTCCACGTGCTTGCACTTATCGAGAAGCTCGCCCTCTCAGACGCAGAGCGATTGCCCCGAAAAAGCAGTGGCCCCTGGTTGGGTATGCGCTCTTCGTCAACTAAGCTTTCATTCTGAGAAAACCATATGAACTTTATTGTGGCATGACGATAATTATAGCGCGAGAACAGAACGACGAAAAAGAGACCAGAAGGACACGAAGGACACGACACGTCTTTCGTCGTCGTTCTGTTCTTGCGCTAAAACTATCGTCATGTCGTACCAACTAGCACAAGCTGGCACACTTCTAAGTTTCATTGTGGCTTTATGCTACAAACTTGCCTTAGTCAACTTCCCTTACTCGCAACTGTCCCATGGCAGAATCTCTTCTTTTTTTTTTCTTCTGTTTGCAGGCCTTCGAGCTGATGGCGCAGAGCTACCTGAAGCGTCACGGTCACGACTTCCCTTTCTGAAGATGACTGTTACTGTTGTTTATTTTTCTGCACCCTTCTTGTACATAGGCACATCTTTTCTCACCTGACATGTCTATTTATCTGCCACGTCTTTGGAATACGACGACACCACAAATAAAATTGTTATTCGCAGCTGATGCACTAAGTGTTGGCACATGCTAAATGCCTGCTATTCATCACTTGCAGGGCGACATTGCCACGGCATCTTTAGTCTTCTTTTTAGTGTTATGCAGTCCAACGGATGCGCCTCCTTCGATTACTGCAACCGATGTCTGGCGTTGTAGCTTCTTAACGTCAGGAGTTTTAGGCTTTGCACAACTTATCGATAAGTGGCAGCCGAGGTGATATGGACTTCCACCTCTCCACGGCAAAACAGTTAGAATAGAAGAGAACAGTAGAAAAGTCTATTTCAACTGAGCCCATTTGTTTTAGACAGCGTATTTATACCTCTTGCACAAAAATACTTCAATGAATCCTGCATCTTTCTCCTTTTATAATTGAATTTCTTATCTCCTGTACATCGCGTTCATATGGTTCAGAAATGCTCGCACTCTGTATGAACGGGCTCTTTGCCCAGCCCACTACCACAGTGCAAACTTTTGTTTTAGGCTGATTTCTCTTTAGCGATTTCGCGTGGTATGCACAAATTTATCTCTGTAAAAATGCTTACTCTTATAAATTATCATGAGGTAATCATGTTTTCAAACACAAAAATCATAATGCTCCCAATGATGTAATAAATACTTCGATTTATACAGCTTTCTTATGTAGTCGGTGCATATAATTTCGTCCATGGCGGCTTTCTAGCTTGCGATAAGTTTCCCCGCAAAGTGCCGCTGTTCGATCGGGTTTGGTGGCGTACTGCCAAGGGTGCGGGCGTGCGACTGCGATGGTTCGGCTGTCCTGTGTTTCATTGTGAATTTGGTGGGTCTTACGGAAATGTTAGTGAACCTTCTTGGCGTTATATTACTGCACAGCCGCGTAGACGTCTGTGTAGAGCACGTGCGCAGCCGGCCTCAGTGTGCGGGGCGGCATCTGGCGGCAGTTGCGGGCTCTGGCATGGAGTGCTCGGGAGCATGCACGGCCTAATGTACAGTGCTCAACTCGGTTGTCTATAACGACGGAGCGTCGCGCGCGGAACAGCATGAGCGACATCTGCAGTCGCAAATACACCACACCTGAGCATGCGCGACGCCAATGATGTGCCTGCCCTGCAGTTTCCGCCCTCCTTTATCTCCGTGGCTGCGATGGCTGCTTTGGCCGTCGAAGCACTGTCAATTAAAATTTCGAAATAGAACAACAACAAAGAAATTCTCGCTCCGTGGTATCATATCACAGCAATAACAGTTTTACTTCGTCTTTTTTTGTTGTTGTTTTTTGCGAAATCGCTCGGAGTGGTTTCAACGGCCAAAGCGGTTGTTGCATCCGTGGTGATAAACAGGGATCAGTATTGCGAGGCCGCACATGCTCAGATGTGGCGTATTTGCAACTGCAGATGTCGCTTAGAAGTGTGGCAGCTTGGGCTAGTTGGTATGGCATGACGATAGTTATAGCGCGAGAACAAAACGACGACACAGAGACAAGAAGGACACGAAGGACACGAGCGCTAGTGTCTTTAGCGCTCGTGTTCTTCGTGTCCTTCTGGTCTCTGTGTCGTCGTTTTGTTCTCGCGCTATAACTATCGTCATGCAGATGTCGCCCGTGCTGTTTCGCGCACGACGCTCCATTGATGTAGACAGCCGAGTTGAGCACTGTACATGCTGACGTGCTTTTCAGATACTGATAACGTTGAAAGGAGCGCCTGTTTAACCGAGAAAAAAAAACACGCTCTCTTGGGGTGCTTTCGGCATCTCTATCCCAAAAGATGACGTGTTTCGACTGACAGCGTGTGTCTAGGTGCGGGCTCATAGTCGTTTTTTTTTTCGTAAGCAGTTTCAAGCAATAGTGTTGCTTAGTGTAAGCGCATCTGCTTGCCACGCAGAATACGTTGGGATTGGTTCCCGGCTGAACTAAAGTTTGTTGTTTTTTAAATATGAGTTTTCACGCTCTGTCGTGTTCTTCTCTCTCTGTCCCCTTCGGCAGAGCGTACTCTCCGCTAACGATGTCAACCATGATTTTTCTCTCGATCCTAGCGACGCTGACACTGACACCAGAATTTCTGTGACACGAGTTCTTTCGCGCCGTCGCGTTAAAGTGCACTCAGAATAAATGGCATTGCAATTAATGAAACTTCCATTAATGAAAAATGCAAGGTTTCCATGGGTATAGACTTACCTTTTTGGTCAGAGATTCACCCGGAATAAATTTTATTACAATCGGAAAAAAACTTTGAAAAATGAAAAAAATACAAATTTTCTAACGCTTTATATGCTTGCGCTTCCGGGTATGAATGCACCCAGAATAAATTCTATGAAAACAGTAAGACATTTCAAAAATTAAAAATATAGAGGATTTTCAAAGGCTTCCTTCATCAGAAATTTGCCCGGAACAAAATTCGGTGTGTCCGCTGCATATTTTCAAAAATTCATATCTGAATGGGATGTTTGCATATCGTTTGTGTATCTAATCCACATGTCTGCCCACATTTCAAAACGCTGGTTAAGTCAACCAAGGTCTGATCTTTCTTTTGCGCAAAAAGTAAATGGTATTCCATTGAGGAGCAACCGCGAGGGAGAGGAGTAGCTGTTCATCCCTTCTCACTAACACCTAAATTAGAATAATGGCTGTGGCAGCTTAGCTACTCCTCTAAAAGAGCAACGTCGACACCCCTCTCCTCCTTCGTAGATTGCAGGCAGTCGAGGAAAAGTCGAACCGCAGACCTTTCGCTCCATGGTGGAACGCCTTACACACCTCAGCCGCGAGCACATACATGTTCTTGTGTGCGAACAGTGAGCTACTTACACGCATACATTAAAATTGAGGGCCTTCCGTATCTCTGAATCTGCTTCACTGATTTTGCATCACTGAGGCTTGTTCACTGACCACCAGATGCCACGCAATAAAGCGTGCTTGGCACTTTACGCAATCGGTGCCTTTGTGTCCGCCAGATGGTGCAAAGGGCACCAGCGTGTAAAGAGGCCGTGGCTTAGCGCAGCATGGCGGGCTTTACAACAAACGCAATAAAAAAAAATTTCCGGAGCCCTCCACTACGCCATCTCTCATAATCAAATGGTGTTTTTGGGACGTTAAACCCCACAAATCAATCAATCTGTGAAGCCACGAATACAGCCATCCTGGATTAGGCACCGCGAAAAGACGACCGTCTTGATTTGTGCAAGAATACGTAAATTAGTCCGCTTGGCGATTGCACTAAACTTTTTTTTTTTTGGTCAGTGTATCGCGCCAGTGTGTGTACTTCCTTCCCTTCGTCCTCGTCTTTTTGCGCCCACATCCAAGAAGTATTACAGACCAGCAAGCCCACTTCGCTACTCTTGTCATGAGTACAATATCTATAGTTGTGACGTATTCGCTGCTCAGTTCAGGCTCAAGAGAGTGCCAGAATGAACGCTGGCACTCGCTTTTTCCAGGTCCAGCCACGTCGGAACGTAGCATCTGTTGTGGTCAGATTCACCGGCTTCGTCGTAAGCTCTCAAACACGAATCAGCAGCGCACCAGTGCGTTTCACTGTCACATCATCGTGTAGCCACGTTCGGGAACCACTCGGAGTGGTTTAGCGTGTGCTACGCCATGGTCAACAAATCATACGCAGTATGAACAAAAATGTTTGCCCACAGGGTTTGTTTCTCATCACCATCACGCTACGTGCAGCATATTGAGTATGTCATTAAATATGACTCCGGTCACGCCCACACCACCGCAAAGTTGCTTACTCATCCTTGCTGTGTTCATGTTGCCTCTAAAGTTGCTACATTCACTCGGTAGATTGTTCCGACGTCCTTATATGGCATTCCTTGCTTCACCCATCTGGTGAATCAGATATTTTGCGCTGAGCATAGATGAAGGAAGGAAAAGGTGAATGAATTGAACAATATTTCAGGGTTGGCAACAAGCATATTTTATTTTTTATTCCAGGCACCATTTCAGTGCCTCTAAATCACAATCACGGTGGCCAAAAATAGTTGGTTTTCAGCACAATTCAACGAAAATAAAGTGTTTAAAACGAGACATGTGTAGCAGCCTCTAAGTGTATACGAGAACAACAATAAATAAAAAGTAAAGTGTAGCCGCCATCTAAACTCGCATCACAGAGAGGTGCTTCGCACACATGTAAACGGCTAGCTTGGTGCTTCAGCCACACCAAATAATTCAATACTTGCACATCTGATAAAGCCAGAGATGACTCTTGACAATGATGCCGATCGACGTACATCATATATACCCTTTATTTATTCGCATGAAAGACATGAAGGTTTACGGATTGTTCGGTTTCCACAACAAAGAAAAGAGGAAAAAGAACAATCGTTATTCGCGTTACGTAACTGCCGTTCTCTCAAAGAACACTAACACCATTTTTTTTTTATAGCAATACAACACTCACGCTAAGTACCGAGTTATGTCCAGTCGTAGATTGCGGGTAACACAGTAACATGCCCACAGCAATCGAGGCTGGTGCCCACGATTGAACGAACGACTCCGCAACCACACTTACGATTCCACAACTGAATAATGACTGACAGATACACAATCTTGATTGATCTACATCAGTGGGTGTAGGCAAAGGCAGTGTTCCCTACGCAATATCGCTCGCCATTGACAAAAAAAATATATTTTTTCTTTCTTTCGATACAATGAAACCGCTAACAGTTCTACTATAGTAAATTAGCTTCCCGTGTTATCTCAAGACACTGTATGCACCGGACGATTACCTGAGGTCATTCCTTGTCCCAACATGGTGAGACTCGCTAAAGTAGGCCTCAAGTCGAGCGCCGGAGGCGCACTCTCTCGGGGCCTACTATCATTTGTCATAGAAATATGCTAGAACGCGGACATCACGATAGTGCTGCCGTAGGCTCCGTGGTGTAACTAGGCACCACGCTTGTAAGGGTTCGATTCCTATACGTGGCAACACCCCTTAGCTTACCCTTTCATTTTGCTTTAAATGTTTGACATGATATGAAATAAAATGAAGCTAGAAAGAGCGTAGCGTAAACTACGAGTTATGTTTGTAGGGGCACTA